TTTCGTGCACACAGTGCACTTCTTCAGGTGAATGTGAAGTTAACATAAACTTGGTGTATAGACCTAAGCAAGTTAATTATTCAAGCATACAATTAAGACAAAAGGACTAAAGCATAAGCAATAAACAATATAAAAATGAAAAGACAGGTCAGGGGTCAGAAGTATTATCAAAGTCAGTGAGTATAATATATAGTAACTAATATATAGTAAAAATAACCGTAGTACAGTATCTTAAGTCTGGGCATCATATAGTGATATACAGTACTAATATATTATAAAAGCATAGTACAAATATAAAGGTATAAATATAGAACTGTAGTTATATAGTGTCTGAACATCATATAATAAAATCAAGGACTGTAATCATATGACATATAATAATAAAAAGCATGATAGATATATAAAACTATGAAAACACTAATGGCAGAATATGAGATATAATAAAAGCATACAGAGTGTGAATATTATGTTCTATAATGTGAGAAAAAACCATAGTCCTTATTAAGGCCCTGTTCTACACAATTAAGCTTATTGATAAATTTCTGTTCATCAGTTTCTCTTTCTAGGCTGTTTTTGAAGTTAGGTTTTTTAATCACTGCAACCTTAGGGTCGAGCATGGAGTGTGAATTAGAGTTGAAATGTTCTGCTACTGGTTTGTGGTTGTGTTTAAGTCGTATGTCCGATTTGTGTCCATTTGAATCATCGTCTGAGGGATTGTCCTGTTTGTCTGTTTTAAATTTAAGTTTATAAGCTTTACGTTAACTTCTCCATTACTATTAGTGTATGGTCATTCTTTACAGTATAAATTGCAGGTACGAAATCTACCAATATTCAGCTTCCATTTGATGTTATAATAATGTACAATTTGGTTCTAAAATGTTCATGTGAAAATGTATAAACCAATAAAGTCGCTGCAACATTGTGTAAACGCTTTTTTCTGACATAACCAAAATGTTTAGTGTTTGCTTGGTGACATGTAAAATTTATTCATATTATTTGTATCTACATGTACTTCTGTAACTTTGCAAAGTAAGTTTGTATGTCTGCATTATTTGTAGTAAAGAAAATAGAGCACAGCTCTGTACATATCTAAAATATAAACATTTTATTCATGGATCTTTTTATAATGTTACCTGCAGTGTACTATGACTGGTCCACTGTTGCTTGGAGAATTCTGCTGTGCTGTCCTAAACGCATAGATGAAGTCAATCAAGTGTGGAACAGCGTGGGGAACACTCTTATCTGGCCAATCAGTGAAATGATATTGAAATACATTATGTACCTCTTCCGTCCCAACCTTCAACATAAAATAATCGGATGTCAATACTTAAGTTTTTTTTTTCTTAAACATAGATATTTCATAAATGTTACTCTTCATTATGTATTCTTTTTCACTACCAACAGAAACAGAAAAAGCAAATTTTCACTTAGGCCTATTACATAGAAACTTTGCTCTATGGGGCTACTAAAGATGTGATGAGAATTTCAGAATAAAGATTTGTTTTGAGTCAAGATAAAGATTTGAAAACATGTCATTAGGATTAAATTGCGAGTCTACGAAGCAATCTCCATACAATATAATTGTCTAAAAAACAATGATTTTAATCTTGATGAAAAGGTTGATGATTTAACTGTAATTTAAAAAGAGCATACCTTCTGAAGTTGTAGATTTCTAACCACAAAATGTCCATACTTGGTCTCTCCAGCGTTTGCTACATTAATGTTTGCGTATCGTTTACCATCATTTCCTTCTGGCCAATACTGCTCACATTTTCGCTACAAATAAATAGAATAAACTATTCTTCATGAATTACAACAAGCTACACTCAGTCCTATACACATCTTCACATCATCCCCGTAAATAACTCATCCTACCCTGTACACACTATCTAACAGCCCAGGACAAATACCTTGGTTCCTTCAAAAACATTCGTAACAACCACAATTATCGTTGACTTTTCCTGCCAGATCATTCTCCACATATCATTGACTGACGCAACATTTGGACCTGAAATTATAAATGCGGAATGAATTAAGAGTGGGCAGTTGATTTAGTTTACCTATGCAATGATGGTATTTTAAGGGCTACACAATTATTTTTCATATGTCCGGTGTTAAATAAAAACTAATACCTAATATATAATATAATAAAAAAACAAATAAATTGTATAGTGCCATCTTCCAAATCATATCATTGCTTACCTTGACATGCAATGAACTCACGTGGTGTCGTATATCCCTGCAAGTGAAGTAAGACATGCATAGATAAAAACAAACAAACAAATATACTACCAGCCCCAGGTTCAAATCCTACAGTAAGTTTGTTTTATTTTTTATTATGGGGACAATATGCAGGGGAATTTTATACGGAGGTGAATTATGATGTGGGCGGAGGTACAGTATGTACTCTCCGAGTGCGCTCTAGTTGTATGTAAAAATGATCTCTGCAGTAATCTGCCCAGTGCCCTAATTATAAAACGAAGCCCGATATTAATATTTACAGACATAGTGCTGTACCCTTTACAGTAAGGTTAATGAGTGAAACCACAATTAATGAACTAACATATATTGTGTTAATTCTAAGTAAATGTACACATTTTTAAGTATAATTTATATTATATTTATGTGGTTACAAACTTGCAAGTTTGAATTTTGTATAAATTTGTAATTGTCGTTTTAACATTTATATTGCATTTTGATGTAGCTGTCCTTGTTTGTATTTGTATTAGTGAGTATTTTATGAATTAGTCATATATTTGGTGTTTACATAATGTTTTTAACCTGTATGTTTGTTTCATTCATTGAAACTTTTTATGAATTAGTCATATATTTAGTGTTTACATAATGTTTTTAACCTGTATGTTTGTTTCATTCATTGAAACTTTTGCAATAGTATTAATAATACCAAATATAAAATGATATTGTAATTAAGATAATTTTATACGAAACACCATTATATTGTTGTTCAAACTTTTATTAGGATTTTTTTTCTGATATATATATATA